ATGCCACCCCGGTGCGAGACAATGATTTGGCAATTATTCACAATTATTATTTTCTCAATGATATTGTCAAGTGAATCATAACAACACAGTGGGTTGCTCATGTAATTACCTTGTCTCCTTGATGTTGCCCTCATTTCTCCGAAAATCATCAAGAGTTTTTATATTATAGTGAAATGTTCACTTATGTCCTTACTGAGTTTTATCTTGGTTTGGAATAATGAGAGCTCTATCAATCATTTTGTATTGGTTTTGTGCATTCATAAAGACTTTAATCCAATATATTTTGTAAATGTTTGTATCTATATAAGATTTCGTGTATTTTACGATAATTTAACGATTCAGACCTAGTATTGACCGCATTTAGGTTTGCTTCAACAACGTAATTTGCTACAAATTGGTGTAAATTTAACCAATTGTAACATGTCAGGTAATAAAGACATTATGTGTGCCAGTATATAAGCAACTGAAATATAGAAGGTACATGGTTTGTGTAAAATTTGTGCTCAGAAGAACTAAATATGCAAATGTTTATATTGGAAAACCTTTTTGTATATAATTTTAAGTCCGTTGTTGTATTTACATATTTCATGTGGCCCATTGCATGGGAGAACTGTGTGTTGTAATCAATACTATTGGAGCAGGATATAAGAATAAAATAATTTAAGCTGTAGTTTTTGTTTTTCTACTAGTTTAACTCGTTATATTTATTATATATATTATTATATGATGAAATAGAAGCAAGTAGGATAGAAATTATCTGTTTCTACTGATATCATGATAATTTCATAATAATATAACTTCAGGATTCTTTAATAACATATGTAGCACTTATATGTAGCATATCATTTTAGAACCGACAACATTTTATCGTAGTTATTCATTTATAGAGCCCATTCTTCGATAAATGAACTCAGTCTTAAATACATTTCTATTGTTTTTGAGACTTTAACTATTGTGACATACCCCTGCCGATTTTGCGACTCCGTAAAAACGGTATTGCAAGGCCGCGTACATATTCATAAGTTGACGTGATGCCATCTGCGTTATATAATCATAGCGTTTTACGCGTTACACTATAGTCGCGTCATTGATAAATGATTTTTTTTCACATTATGCACTCTATATTTTGAGTATGTGATAAATAGAATATTATATTCGTGTAAGTTCAATACTGAATTTTTTAAACTCGTTGAATTTAATAATGTTATTAGTATTGGACTTACACTTATTCAATACCCTTTATATATTTTGTTACTTACATTTTTTGTGAATCTACACTTTTGTTTAATCTAAAACAGTTAACTTGTCATTATTATTTCAGATTTAAATACAATATCTTTGATAAGCTAAAACATTTCATTCACTCAAACTATAGCGTTTTATATAATCAGAATATTCACTTCTTTAAAATGAAGATAATTATTCACACCATTACACCCATTATCTCCTGTAAACAGCTATGTGTTATTCTAGAGACACTTGGGTATCGAAATGATAGCTTGATTGATGGACAAGATAAATACAATTCCCGTTGAAGTAGTAATATGGGTTATGTATTATCAAATTGTATATAACGGGAATACTTTTGAATTGCTCAGAGACCCTACTGAATCGCAAACTGGTTCAGTCTCATTAGTTTATCATATACAACACGCACTGTTCAATATGGGGTATATGTTGGCAATCACGTGTTGAAATTCAAAAGCAGCGATTTAGTTGATGTAAAAAATTACAGTTACTTTTGAACAACTGTATGTATTATATAAAGCCATTTTCGAACACCCTGTAACAGTTAAAAGACCCTGCGAATCAAACGATAGCCGACAATAGCTTGACAAGTATATCTTAATATGTGTATAAATATTGATGATAATGAGTTATTCTAAACTAATTTATGTATTGATATGCAAGACAGAAAAGTGCTTAGAAATGATGAAAAATAAATGTATATGTATATGGCTAGTTTGACATGGGGACTATTTTTCATGGACACGGCAAAGTCACTACGGAAATGCTATTTCGGCACATACATGATTAATTTCTCTCAGATTATGAGCAAAGATATATGGACAGGCAATCCATACATAAATCTTTCAAGAAAGTATTTACGAGAAGTCATCAATCTTTCCAAACAAATAAAACCAAATCTCAAGAAATGTCTGATAAAGAAAAGGCATGACAACTTGTCTAATATACAGTAAAATGTCGAAAGCACAAATGCAAATCACACTTCTCTTGTAGATAAATGATATCTTTTATAACAGTTACGAACAAGGTTCAAGCTATATTATATTAAAAAAACGACGATAACATTCCATGTGTTCTGTATAATCTGAAGCGCTGATGCAAACCATTTTGTTGTTTACTTTTTTAAAGTTTACAAAGCCGTTAAGTATTGCCCGAAAATATTAACCTGTCCATTTCGAATACATTATCCGGTGGGTGAACGTTTTTTTGTGTTATGTTATAGTTTTCAAAAGATACTCATTGACTAATTACCTTAACGATATTTTGCTTCTATATGTTATTTTCTGGACGTTAATACAATAACAATGATTTAATTGTGTTATGTATGCAACATATTACATGTATATAGATTATATCTGACCAGTTGGTATTTCCAATATTGTCATTGTTCTATTTTTAGAACATAAACTACATGTATGTACTAGAACGTTCTTAACTGTTGTGGAAAACTCATGCATTATATTTAGATAGAAATTTCTGGAATGATCTTTACTGTTGAAGTTGCTAGATTATGATTACTGTAGTAAATGGAAGACTATTCTAGAAACTTCTTAGTTAATATATATAAGGAGACATTTTTCATTACTCTTACCTTTTAAGTCATCAGTGATCTATTAAGTCATCAGTTACCTTTTAAGAAGTCAATATATTTGGAGTATTATTCAACTTGGATATTAAGTGAATTATTGGAGCTTGGATTTTAAAATAAATTATTCTTGTGGATTTTATTGTGGGAATTTATTCTAAAGTGTTCTTGGATTTAACTTGGATTTAAATGTGCTATTCAAAAAGGATCATTCCAGGATCAGACTAGACATTTATAATTTTCATTTTTATTTGGACTTCAGGTATTTGTAAACATAATTTGTTATTTTATTTTTCTTTAATAATTTTTCTGTAATAAATTTGTTATTGTTACAAGTTTGTTGCTGGCTTTTCTTTCTCGTTACGCCTGGCTCGTAACAATTGTTTTTTATGTTTTATTTTGCTACTATTATAACATAACATTCCACTTACAGTCCCACTTTCTTCAAGTAAAAAAGCATATTACATGACTGTAGAAGTTGTTAATTTTTGCGACGTGGAAATATTTGCGATTTTTGCGAATCAAAATCAATTGCAATTAATTTAGCCGGCAAAAGTGAAATCAAATTAAGTCTTCGGTGGCCATTTACACCTGTAAATATACCCGTTGGAGAAAAAAATCTCACTCAATACAAACAAACATATAACATGATTCAAAGTGCATTTAACATTTAACAGTATGAAATAATAACGAAAACGGTTCATTATAAATTGTCGAACTGACCATTTCATAATATTTCTTTGAAAACATGTACATTGAAAATAGCCACACCTGTTAAAAATATGGTTAACACTTGTTAATAACATCACCGATAACAAAATTATTTTATACAGGTAATAGTGTGACACTTGATGATTATTAAAACAAATTAAAACCACTCGCTTGAATACATTTTCTGTATTGGTTAAATGATTTAATTTTTCTATTCATTTACTAGTATTAAGTTATTAAATGGTTATTACAAACGTGTTAATATAACGGGAGTTTCTGAAATCGTACTTTAGCAAATATTTCGGCACACAAAAAGTCCGTTTTTGTATTTTCGCAATTTTTTGTGACGTGCAAATATTCACTGATACAGTTTTTAAATATTATAAAACACATGTTTGTTTTATTTTTAAAGAAGGACAAGATAAGTTCTAACTGAGGCATAATGTGATTTTAACAACATAAACTGACTACTATTTACCGATATTTAGATATGGTATAACATTCGTACCAATAAGTTTGTTTAATAGACACCTAAACATACGGCCTTTATATTTTATACTGGTTTATAGATCATATACAATTTTGTTTACGGAATCAATTTAAGCAATCGCAGAATGGAGTATCACTGAATTTTCCTCATATTTTTACATGAACTGCAATAAGAGTCTTAAATTAACATAATTGTAATGCAATGTAATTCGTTATTGTATATAAACGTTTAATAATTTAAAATACAGTAAAACATGATATCATATATAAATAACTACTTATTGATACGAGTATAATCACACAAGAAATGCTCTGTAAAAGATTTAATTTATGTACCAGTTTGTGTCATCCAAAGAAATAATCTACATCTATATAGAACGGATATAAAAAATACCTGTTTCTTAGACGACAGTGGTAAAGGCATTTTTATCATAACATTTACCAGTCAATCGGCTTTGATGTTTATCATCTTTTCTGTCTTAATTTTCTTTTCTATTTGATCATTTAAAATAAAACTAACATCTGACACGAGCCATGGGTACTATAATAATATAATAGATGAAAATAGTCCTTAGTATGAATTCTAGATGATACTTAAATAACAAAAATTCTGTTCGACACTAAGAGGTACATATCTTCCGTCCTATTTTTTGTTTTCAATTTGGATTGATGAGGTGTCTGAAAACATTTGGTTTTCTGATAATTAAAAGCTAAATTGATAAGTTAAGCAGTTTACCAACATGAATATATGCATTGAAATGATAAAACTTGCTTATGAACTACAGAGGTAAATGTACTATACTTATCTAGTGGTATTGTGATAAACATCAAACTGAATTATGATTTAAGCAGATGTAATGGTTCATTTTTTTATATGAACCCAGTTCTATCTTTAATATAATAAAACAGAAACTATATGGGAAATGGTTTATAATATACATGCCATGATTATCTCCAGTACCAGTCTTTATATAAATCAAGCAATTGTTTCATTCTTATCAGCCGGGAAAAATGAACATACAGCACATGTGAGTTCTCTAGTGTTTTCATATGGTGGACACTTCAGTACCCCGCATGCAGCCTGGACGAAAAAGAAATATTTTTCATCTTTGGCACCATTCCCAGCTTCCAATGCTTCTGGCTTTTCATCAACACAAACATATTCCGATGATCCAGCATGTGAGAAGTGACCAGCCATAAGATAACCACTGTACTCCAGAACATAACCCTTGTAACAGACGCTTCTTCCAGGAATCATAAGTACATTATTCCTAGGGATTCTGCAAACTGCACAAGGCACGTCTTGGTAATGTAGATGTTTCCAGTATGGGTAATCGCCGGTGTGGTATTCAGCTCCGTATATTCTGTCGGCTGATTGGAATCCATCTATGTATTGACTCCAGGTAGGATCTTTCGGCAAGCACATGTAGTTTGAACCAGAACCTTTGTGGGTATAGTGACCACCAGCGACGTAACCGTCATAAACGAGAAAGGCTCCTTTAGGACAAATGGTCCTACCCCAACGGGTATATGTTGACCCGTCAAATGATCTTTCGGCTCTGATCAATTTTTTCTTCATTCCAGTTATCATTTCTCTTGCATCTATAGTTACATAAGAAAGACATATTCAGTATAAAACAAAATAAAAACTATCCGCTAAGCGCTGTAGGGAGCGAATTGCCTTTATAATTCTTTGGTCGAGGGTTCGAACTTCGGGCGAATTTCTACGTTACAAATGATCTTGAACTTCATGACAATTGTTCTTGGACTTTAAAACTTATGGTAATAAGTCTCTAAATTCTGGTTCAGCAATTATATGGGACCGGAAGTTGGTCATGTGGAGATATTGGTAATTACCAGTTCATTATCCAGGGAAGCCAGTTAACTTCCAAAATATGAATGAAAGTGCATTTGTAAATTTTTATCAGTATATCGTAAAAACAAATCAAACTGACAAGTCAAGTTTTTTATGCAATCGAGGCAGCGAAAAGAAGTTTTTGCTACTCCCTTGTATCAAAAAAAATTACAAAATATAAATCATAGTTTCTTTTTCTTAGAATCTTAAGATGATATGGAAACATATCATGAAAACTTGAAAATATTTATAAACTATAAAACAGATACAAAACAGATACTGATTACCGCTTAATTCATTTCTTAAAGCATTGTTTGTCTCCTTTTGTTGTTTCATCTTTTCTTCAAGCACGATAAGTTTCTGCAAAACGTTATATTCGTATTCAAACTTATTATAACACGTATGTGGCTCATCATTAAATAAACACATGGATAAATGTAAGTATCCAATAAGTAACAGTATAAATATTATTTGTTCAGCCATTTTTTTCACAAGAAAAATCCTGTTATGTCAGAATATTACTAAAAACCCCAGAATCTTTTAACAGTTTTATCTGAATTTTTACGTACAGGTTAAGTTATAGAATATATCGTATTACAGTAAACCTGTTTTTTCAATTATATCTGCTTGCCTAGTTAAGATAAATGTTATAATATCTATGATAACGTATACTTAATGAGCATGATAGTATACGCCCTGTACATAGGAGGCCTTCTTGGAATGTGTAGCGTAATGTTGTTTTTGTTTTAAGATAAGAATAATGGAACTTTCGAAATGGTTTGAAACAGGTAAATGTAGTTTTAATTAAGACAAATTGTGCTAACGCTTCATTTTATGTCGATAGGGTGGGTTGTGTTGTCTGATTCCCTTCTTGTCTAGTTCTTCACTGCTGATGCTTTGTGTCTATATATAATATAAAATACATAAAACATTTGCTACTTTTGAAGTGAGTGTCGATCGATTATTCTTTATCTTAGAGTTGTAAAATAAATTATTTTATGTGATTGAACAGTTTATCATTATGAAATAATCATTAGTAACTGTAACAAACTAATATTTAACGAAATATAGTTAATCTTACATTAGCCTGACTATTGATATACATGTATTTATATCAAAATTTACCTAATTTACGAAAGCCCTCATATCCGACAAATTGAATACAGATATTTACGTGAAACTTAAAGAATTGGTATTTATCAAGAAAAAACATTATGATTTTGTTTCCTTCCAATTGCTATAATGATAAAATAGAGTGCAATAAGAATCCCTATAGAAAACCCAACACGGTAAAATTGAAAAAATCATACCTGCATTATTACTTTATTATTACTGCATTGATAGTTTACATATATCACTGTTTATACTCAAACCAATTGTCATTATTTTATATATAAGGTTTTTATGTTTCCGTTCCTTAAACCGTACACATTCTACACTGCAGTATTGAATTATTGTATGACTATGAGGTGAATGTCACATTAATAAGGTCAATGGCCTTTGATATTTACTGACATCTTCATACAATAACTATTTCAATACATAACCATTTTAAAATACTTCATTTTGTATTTTTCAAAGCTGTAGATGTTGTTTTAGTATACACACAAAAAACAAAAAAAAAACATAAATAAGCAAATGAAAAGCGCAGAGGGTGATAACCTATTTTCGGCATTCGATACCATTCTAAAATGAGTAACTGTTCATCAGAAAGCAAAGCAAAATGTCTTTCAGTTTATCATTCTAGTTTTGAGGCAAAGAACGCTGTCTGAATCTGACATTACCAAACGGCATGGTACCGTTGTTTTTTATTGATCAGCTTTATATATTACTGTAAAGACATTAACGATTGCTGTCTAATAATATAGTAAGAGCCACTTTTATGGCCTTATGACAAAGTTTGTTTTGAACAGTACCGCCACGTTCAGATTATTTTCTATTGACCGTCAATCGCAACATAATCATATTAATTAACATTCGGGTCAAATTCAATTTCTGTTGTTGCTTATCAGTGCTTATCTAGCATTAATAAGACACAATATGAATTACACCATTACACTGATTATCTCAGCTTAACAGCTTCACTACGCCCAGGAGATAATAATGCTTTCTACATAATACTCTGATATACGGATAAGGTGTAAACAATAATATCCCCGAGGGTTTAGGAATTTTCTGATATATGTAATCTAAGTTCCATTTGAGAAGTCCATGTTATAATCATTTATTTTACTTTACCCTACTGTAAGTGATTTCGTAGCATCATATGTCAATTACGACAAGTTATATAACGAAAAATCTTTCTTGTGTACGAGTTAAAAATTATTACACATTATACACCTAAGAAGTTAAAAACAAAAGTGACCTTTTACATCAAAATTATTTTGAGAAACTGCTATGTGACTTATTAGCATATTGTTACGTTAATAAACGTCGGTCAGTGTCATTTTAGCAGGACGTTTTCATATAAATAAACAGTTGCTGATTTACACCATGTCGTATTTTCGTTTCTTCAAAGCAAAATGCGAAATAGCGAAAATGCTTGTCGTCTCTTCATGTATTTGCTTTTTCGAATTTTTGAGGCAAAAAAGAGAGAAAAGAAAACGACAGAAGGTGGACGAAATACGATATATAAAATCTGTCGTAAATTCGCATTATGTCGTATTTTCTATTTTTCGCATTGCTACATTTTCGCATTGCTGCATTTTCACTTTGTTACATTTTTCGCATCGTTACATGTTCGCATTGTTGCATTGTCGCTCTTTCGCATTGTTACATTTTCGCAATTTTACATTTTTGCATTCCTATTGTACATGCGCATGGAGACATCAACTCATTGTTATCATTATTACTATTATTATTCAGTTTTGTAATGTTTGATATCAATGATATACATGACAACATTTGGTCGCCATATTTCCCGGTCATTCATTCTTCTTCAGTGGCTTTAATTTCATTTTAAATTTTATATAACAATAAAATTTAAAATAACTTTTATTTATTATTACATTATCTCGAGTTGTTAGGCGTTCCCAGGTACTTAAAACAAAGCTCACTTGACGATCATTCTGTCTGCCAGCTTTCCCATATTTCTCGAATATCAATTCAATTTTCAAAAACACACAAAGTCAGTAAAATTTTTTTTAAAATCATAATTTTTTTTTACTGGTTTTTTTTCTTTTTGTTCCCCAAAGGGAAATTGAATGCTTTTTAAAACAAGAAAGGGGAAAAAAATTAAAACCCAAATTGGTACAAACCCAATTTTATTTTCTGTAAAATTTTTGGAATTTTTCCCAAATTTATAGCCCAAAAAGCGCAACGTAACAACCGGGTCGCAAAATGTAAAAAAAAAAAAAACAATTTGAAAATTTTAACAATTGGGGAAAAAAATTAAGGCAAAAAAAAGGGAAACAATAAAGTAAATGCCAAAAAAAATTTCGAAAAAAACCCAAAAAAGCAACCAAAAGGGGAAAGTAACAAAACGTGGAAAAAAGAGAAGAGGGTGCAAAATTTTCCTTTAAGTTTGAAGTTATTTTTGCGGTCGTATTTTTTGTCGTATTTTCGCCCTTTTTTTTAAACACGAAAAAAAGCAAATAAAACGGAACAAGGCCCCAAAAATGAGAACACCATAAAATAAAAAAATTGTTTTTTATTTTTAAAAGTCCTATATTAAAAATAAAATTGGGGAAAAAATTTAAAACCAACAAATTTTAAATCAATTTCCATTCTTTTTAAATGCCGTTTGAGAATTTGGCGGGAAAAACTACAAGATGCAAAAAATTTACAAAGGGAATTCCCCTCTTAAAACACGGGCCCCACGCCCTTTTTTTTGTTTAAATTTTTTTCAGGGTTTTTTGGGGATAAAACAAATTTTTTTTTTTGTCCGGGGTTTTTAAATTAATTGGGGGAAAGGGGTTTAAAGGCACTTACTGGGGTGGGGGGGGTTAGGGAGAAAGTGTTGTTTTTTCCGAAATTTAAATAATCAGACTGAAAAAAAAATCGCCCCCGTTTCAAACCCCTTGTTTCTTCTTAATAATACAGTTTTTTCCTTTGGGGATACCCTTATTACATTTTTAAAAAGGGTTTTTATCCATTTGGGAAAAATTGTATACATTTTTCCCAACAAGGGTATTTGGGTTCAAAGGGAATTTTTTTAAACATGGTTTTCATAAAAAATTAAATTTAAAGCATATTTTTAATAAAATTTAAAATTTTTTTAAAACCCCGTTAAATTTGATTTAGCGAGGGGTTTAAAACAGTTTGACAATTCATGGGTTTATGATTGTGTTTATAAAAAAAAATGTTTGGGGGAAAAATTTAATAGGAAGGGAAATTTCCTTAAAAAACCCCTTTTTTTTTACTGGAAAGGGGATTTCTATCAAAAAAAATATAAAATGAACAGGTAAAATTAGATGTTTTTACACATTTCTAACACAGTACCTACTTTAAAAATACGATACTGTATGGAAACTGCTATGATATTCATTTTAAAATAACACTGTCCTTTAACACAACATTGATTCCATGAAACAACAAACTGACATATATGACACATGCACGCGGCTTGGAAAGTGGTTTCTGTAGCTTAAATTATTCTTAATCATTAAAATATTGTTGATTTTGTTTTAATTTTCACAAAATCTGCTTCTTGAGGCTAAATAATATATAACATACAGTTGTATATAGTGTAAATATTTGATATCCATAGAAAAATTATGTCTGTTTTGCTAAAATTATTGTTCACTATTTAGGGAGAAGGAAGATGTGTTAGCGGCCGGATAGCTCAGTCGGCAGAAGCTCGGAACTGTGTCCGAGGGTCCTGCGTTCGAGTCTCGGTCAGGCTGTGCAAATTTCTCACCCTATCACATTGTGATTGTAAATATGTCTGACAATCATAATGAATTTAAAAATGCACCCTGATGTACAATTATTAATAAACCCAAATAAATATCAACAGGTTTACATTTTGCACTTTCGGTTTCTACCACCATAAACATAATATATAAATTATGTTCTATTGACTTTTACATCTTTAAATTTCCTTAATTTAGGTGGACATTTACCACATATTTGGAATAAACATAGTCAAAATCTTTCAGCATAAAATTACTATTTGTTTACATGTTTGGTTTCTCAGTGATGGTTAGACCGGAATACCGTTTTGTGCATTCTTACTTTTGTGATCGCTGTTCTTATCCCAAAAACTGAGAGAGTTTGCCACTAACTATTTATTATCATTTAGTTTTTTCAACCTAAAATACAATCGTTTCCATTTGGTACGAATATAACATTTACGTTATGGTTATTGTTCTTTTTTAAAATTGATAATTTAATAAAGAAAACACCAGGGTATAACGGAAAAGGGATTAACTTTATCAGTGTATTT